AACTTCTTGAAGCATAAGCAATAGGTAGGTGTTTATCAATCTCTTCCTGACGGAGAATGGCTCCTTGGGCAATATTGGAGGCGTCCGTAGTTACAGTTACAGGTCGCGTAAAATCAAGATATTGTAAAAGAGGTTGTGTACATACAATTTTCTTGAATTTTCAAATGCTTCTATCTACAGATTTCGCCAAATGAATGAAATACCTTTGTTGAATAATAAATTTAGAGGGACTGCAATTTTATAAAATGTTTAAAAAAAACGGCGATAATATCCCACTAGTTCCAAGAATTGCTTAATATTTTTCGTGGTTCTAAGTACGGGAAATTTAGTCACCACACGAGTCTTGCTGGAGTCTGACCTTACTTCCCTTTCTAAAATGATATGACCTAAATAAATAAACTCCCTTCTAAGAAACGTACATTTGTCCGGTTGTAAGGTTAGTCCCGCAGTTTTCAATCGCCCTTATAGCTTCCTCAATTTCTCCTTGTGTTTCTGGGGTGAAACCGCATATATTACAGTGTCGTCCATATACAAACAATTCGATGACTTAAAGGCTGCTTAGGATCTTATCTATTTGTACTTAGAAAGTCGCAGGGGCTCTTTTGAGACCCATAGCTATACGTTTAAATTGAAGGGTTGAAAAGTACTTGCATCTACCAAATTGGTCCAGAATTTCAGTTATACTTGGTAAGGGGTATGTGGATAAGACTGTGTTTTCATTTAGTGCACGAAGGTCAATAACCAACCTCCAACGTCTGTTCCCTTGCGAATCGCGTTTTTTAGGGACTATCAAAACGGAGGAGTCATAGGGAACATCCGATTCTTCAGTAATATTATTATTTAATAAATCTTTAACTTGATTCTGAATCTCGTTGCGCAAATGAGGAGGATGACGATATTGCTTTACGTTAATGGGTACATCATCAATAGTGGGTATTCGATGTTGAATGTTAACGGTTTGATTGAACTTATCTCCGCGTAGACGAAATTGATTCAGGCAAGGGTTTACGCAGTTTCCAGGATTTATTTTCCATACGCTCGATATTTTTAGCTGCATTAATCGCAGATTAAAGACTAAAGGTTACATAACTGGGCATCTGGAATCGAATGTCCCTGCGCAACCCTAACCTAAACCTCTCTACGGCCCTGCGTCATTATCTTGACCGATTCAAGGAGATAATCTTCAGAGATGAAACTTATTTTAGTTTGTAAAATATTTAATACTCTCAATCCATATTCTGATACATTTTCTTGTATTCCCAGAACCACTCGAGACAACTCGGCCTGAAGCTGGGTCAAGCTCTATTGAGGCGAAACGATTCCTTTTAACTTGGTAAATAAATGATTTAGATCTAGGAAATTTTTGTGAATAATTTGATGACGGGTATCTCCAGTAATCTTGGATTCAATGGTTTGTATAAAGAGATTATTTCGCTCAGGCTTAACGTATTTTTCAAGGGCTCGAATTTCTTAATAAAAATGGAAATCGGTAAGTCTCCATTATTAAATTCTGGTATCAGATTATGTAATTTGATAAGTTTCTTATATTCTATCTTTTAGTCTGTAATTGATGCAGTTGAGGTATTCTGATCGCTCTGAGGCCTGCCAGTTGTCAAAGAGGTATTAATCAGATAATTGACAGTAGTTACAGTAAAATCACCATGGTTCTTTGGGCGATCAATCAGTTGATCGTTCATCGGGGTTACTTTAAAAGAACTTTTTAACAAAATATCTCCTGCTACAGGCTCTACAGACCACTCACCTCGTGATAATGACATTATGGAACGATTACAGTCTTACTTGCACATGATATTTGTGGCTGGCGTTAGTGATTGATTTATTTTAAACAGATGTACAATTAATCCTCTTAATTTATACAGCCGTTGATCCCAAAGATTCCTGAGACGTAACCTGATGAGTTTGCGATGTCCTTTTTTAAGCCAGAATATCCAACTCGATTTCAGCTTTGTCAAAATAACTGCTGATTCTTCTAAACTTCACTAACTGCACGTAACCCTAGGTACTTGAAAATAACAGAACTTCCTCAAGATCGCCTTCAGGTATCGTCCGTTCTCAAAACTTCTGAGGATAATAAGTTTGGAAGCACCTGAGCTTCCTAAGGATGACCTCCAGGTATCACACCGCTGTCACCGAAAGTATTTCTGTTATGACCTGGCTCACGATTATAGACTACGAAGGTGTAGATGGCACTCTCCATCCTCTATTTTGTTTTGGGTAGTTCGTCTGTTACCTTGTTGGGCACTAACGTGCCAGGTCAATTGAATCCTGGGAAAGTCAGTCCTTGGTTGCTCTAGTTCTCGGTGATTCCAATGAGTAGAATCCCAATAGGGTGAAGAGCGAGTTTGTCCCAGAAGGCGACGTCCAGGTATCTTTAACACACTTAGGAATGCAATCACTCACTTAAACTACCCTGATCGACCACGAAACAACTACAGATTAAATACTCGCCGTAGGTTTTTGGAGGGGGGTGCCAAAATAGAGCATCGCAAGCTCCGCCTGGAACAGAGTCTCAATTCCAACTAACTACTGCTGAAAAATCCAACTCCTTTTATAGATTGTAAGTTGTACCAAAAGTCAGGTAGGCCACTTGCTTGTCCTGATTTGTTCTTGAATTTCTTTGAGCAAAGTTGTTGTTTTGGACGTCCTTCAAAGGTATGAGTGGCTGTAAACTCAAGGCCAAGCTTGTTTGTTCTCGGGGTGAATCATGCCATAAGTCACACAAGCCTCTTATGAACGTAAAAAGGTCTGTTATTTTTCATTTGGGATGAGTCATGCCATTAATCACGCAGGCTCTTTGTTTACGTAAAAATGTCTGTTATTCTGAAGGTCAACCTTATGTGCCTAAAACAACAGTAAATCGATTTCCGAATCCTTGGAAAGCTTTTGTATAGTTGGGGAAGCTTTTCCTCATTGTTATTAATGACCTTTTAATCGTAATTATTATAGAAATTAATGTCATTATTATTTTGGGTATCATTGTCAATTAAATAGTATAATTTTTCGCGCCAGGCCGAGAGAGCGCTAGTGCCACTTGTATCTATGGATACAATTATCTCCTAACATGCTGCATGCACTTCGACTCACACGCAGTCATATGTATGCAATTTCACATGTACAGAATAACAGCCTATCAATGTAGTCATATACTCCAACACTTTCTCTTGACTTGAGATAGCTAATAAAATATGAAAGTATAAAAATAAATTAGATTTGTTCTCCTTGATCTAGATTATTTTATTATAAATCTTCCAAGACACTAGGACTTTATTGTAAATATGACAAAGGTCCCTACCGTCTGATTTTTCTTGTCTCAAAAAATATGGGTTACGTTAGTAATTCATTTAAGTTAGAGACTTTATTGAAAATTCGGTTCGTAAACTTTTCCTAGAGCTTGATCAGTAATAGTATTCAGCTATATGAGATGTAGTCTATCGCATGCGACACATTTCTCAATATAGTGTTTATTAATTTCTGTTATATATCTTAATCTTTTCGTGCCACTCATCTTTGAATTTAATTTCACTGCCTTGTTGTTACACCACAAGTTAACAGGACAAAAGGATTTGTTCTGTATATTTTTGAGAGAATTGTCCACTGCTTTTAATTTTCTACATGCTTCACTCATCAAAGCTATATTTTTAGCCTGACATGTTGACAGAGATACATGTAAGCCTGTTTGTGAGTTCTCCAGACCACAGAGTCTCCAAAGAGTTTTGTTACATAGCCACTCATTGCCAGAGAGCCCTTGCAGTCACTAAAGTTAGCATCAGAGAAGGCTTATAGATTTTTAGATTTTTAGATTTAGAAGTATTTTGGGCTGACAGATTTACTTTTTACCAGGTATTAGAATATTCGTTCAACTACAGTTGGACTCATTTGATGTCAACTCAGCATTTTAACTGCATAACTTATGTTAGGACGTACAGTGTTGGTGACATATAATAAACGGCCTATAGCATCACGGTCAAGACCATTCTTTGTTGATTTTGTATTTTTTAAGTCATTCTGCTTTTCTGATTTTTCTCTTTATTTTCTTTGCTAATTTAGCTTATGACCAGTGAACATGGGAGTTTTCACAGGTTATGAGTTTTGAAATCTAAGTTTTACCAGTGTTTTTTGTTATGTAACTAGACTTAGTTAATATTAAAATTTGCTTCTTCCTTTCTTTTCTGAGTTCGATATCCAGAAAAGAGTCTACTTAACCAAGATCCCTCATTTTCAATTCACTTTGCAGACTTGAACCGACCAGGATCATTACTTGCAATAAGCATATTACCAGCACATGAAATCGAAACGATAATTTTTTTTGTCTCGAATCAAGTAAGCAGACATCCACCTTTAGTTAACCCCAACGTATCTAATCTTTCTTTAGTATCTTCGTATTGGCCAAGTGATTTCTGCCTTTTGGCTACAACCACGACCATGATCGCCTCAGTTCCCTCGACTTCCACCAGGAATTCCTATTCTGTTAAGGTCGTTGCCATCTCCTCAGTCATCTTCTGGGCCCAAGCTGGTATCTTATTCACTATATCATAGTTCGTGGAAAAGCAATTAAAAGCACGATAGAACTAACACGTAAGAGATAATGCGCAGTAAAGGGTGCTGGGATCGATAACTTGAAGATTTTGAAAGGAGGCAAAATAAAGCCAACATCGATTTCATTAGAAAAAGGAGAATTTTATTGAAAGACAGTAACGTAACGGGCATGATAGACTACAATACAAGAGGAGTAGAGTGGTACATGCGTGACAATGGTCAAAGCAAAACTGACCAAACTTTTGGGTGACCCTTGACTCACACGCGCTCATGCATACACACTCATGTATATATAGACTCTCGATACAATCGTGTACTCCAACACTTAAAATATAATTTGTTAGTCCACATAAGCTTTGTATAAACAATGAATGTACGTTAGACGATTGTGCCAAAAAATCGTCGAATTTTCAAATGATTTTTTAATTATCACTACTTTTTAGTTACAGTAACGTAAATCATGGCAGCGTTAGTGCAGGCTGCGTCAGTGGTAAAAGAACGCCACGTCGATCAACCATGGGTTTGGAGACATCGGCCACATCTCTGCACTCAAGTGGCCAGGACTCGGGCATCGTTACTGGCATTTTGTATCCCTGTCAATGCAGTAGCTCTTCCAGCCCTTCAAGTGGTGAAAGTAGCAAGTAAGTGTTCTATCAATACCCGTGAATAAATTGTTTTGCTTCCATCTGATATCGAAACATAATACATACGCATATTTCTAAAATTCTTGAACATTCAAATATTTCACAATTATATTTTTTCATGATCAATAGTTTGATTAGTGTAAAAATAAGCAATTGTTCTTTCCATTAGTTATAAAGTAATAAAGTATTTTTCTTTTATTTAGTCTTACTAATACCACATTTTAATTTTAAATACATTCTTTAATGATTGTGAAAATTAAAAATAGAAAGAAAGGTAAACTCTATGTCACAAATTCAATCGTAAGCTATGATCAATGTGTAAATAGTGTATTTTTTAAAATCTTTTTTCGCCCTCCAGATAATATGAGTGTGTATATTATAACATCGATCTTCTGGAGAAAATGACAAAACACTTGTTTTTATTTCGATTGAAGATCGACATAATAATATAAATACACTCATGTTAATAGTATAGTTTGATACCGATTGATCAGGATGCAGGAGCATCTATAAATTCAATAAATTTTACATTTTTATGATTGCAGTGACTACGAAGACTCATTAAAATCACTTCAGTACCAACAACGTCACCAACAGCAACGCAATGAGCTACAGCTACAAAATCATCAACAACGCAGTCAAAGTCATGACTCTTGGCATGATAGTCATAATGATAACAATAACTTATGCAATACGCAGTTATTAAATAAACAGCACCGATTCCACTCTTTTACTAATCTCGAATCGATTCACAAAGGAGAACCAAGTATTAATGGACTGCATCGTAATAGGCGCTTCCAAACAGTATTACTAGGACAAAAGCATCACCATGGGTAATTATGGTATTATATTTTCTCATAGTTTTCCATGTTTTTTTGTACACGACTTTTGTTTGTACCTAAGCACAATACTGCAACCTAATAATCATAAAGTAGAAATCATACGTTTTTAGTAAATCATAGCTTTGTTATAAGGGAGGGTGGGGCAGGCAGAGCACGGCGGCTCAGCATGGCACCCTCATAATATCAATAATCATAGACTTAAAAAATCGAATTTTGCCATAAATGTAATAAGAAATACTTATCCTATTATCCTCTATGCTTTCTATGTCGAAAAATTACGTTTTCGAATTATTATGTAATTTTAAAAATTTCACTGCTGAGAAAAAGTTAGCTTCATTTTTCATTGGCTTGAAACAACTCGAAAATATTAGATTTTTTTAACGAAAATGGGTGCATTTGATAGCTTAAGTCTTCAGCTTCAAAGCGCTATTTTTTTTTTTTTTTTTTTTTTAATTTATCTGACCAATGTTGTAAACAATATAAAACCTCATTAAAATTGGGCAGGCGTAACACCGAGGGTAGGGCAGGAGGAGCATGGTCAGCAGCTACGGTATATATTTGCTGCACTTTATCAGCTGACTGCGCCTAACCTATTCTGTTACGTATAGGTATACCTACCTATAAACCTGATGTAAACACTCCACAAAATAGAAGTGCAATACTTAAGTAGTTGTAGGTAAATTAAGCTCAGCAAAAAGATGAGATTTATCTAAGAGATCCCTTAATCAAGAATTCTTGAGTGCAATAATTTTAAATAAGGCAACAAGAAGTATTATTTTGTGATTTAGCAATTAATTAAACATAAGTCGGTATGCTTAAGTAATACTTTAAGTTTTGTTAAATATTTTCTGTAATAAAAAAAAATTTTTTTAAATAAAAATGAATAGTAATATACAACTAACAAATTTATCACAACCCTTCGATGTTTACTTAATCAAAACAGAAAGAAAAATGCCATAAAAATTTCAATATAAAAATGAGAAATTGCGACCGTACTACGCCTGCCCCACGGGGTGCCACTCCCCACCCAACGGTAGGGCAGGTGGAGCATTTTCAAAGTATATTATTTTTAGTTTATTTGTTGACAATAATGTAAAAAATAAAATTTTTTGACTGTGGATCACAATTCTACTTCAACTTTTCTTTTTGTTTCTTTTTTTAAATATTGAATTTATCTTTAATGTTACTTCTACATTTGATTTAAGTTAGAGTGCCACGGCCGCCCCACCCTCCCCTAATGTTTAAGTCACATATTTTAAAAATGCTTCGTAATATTTTAAAAATCTATATTTTTTTCTAAAGGGATGCATTCAACAATATGACTCCATTTACTTCCGCCATGCATCGACGTTCTTATTCGGAGGCAGAAAATTTGAACATCATGGAAACATTTATGCAGGAGCATACGATGTCTCCAAAGTCTCTGGGATCGTTCGGAACATTACCCACAGAATCATCAAAGTTTTTTTGCAGCAAGGGCAAAGAAATTCTGCCAGCTGGGGCAGCGAAGGCAGTGGGTGGTATACCAACACTACTTCGATCTTCTGACAGTAAACGTGTCATTTACGCCAGGCCGAAGCGAAACTTTACTTAAAAGACAGACACCTTCGAGTAGGTTCTAGAAGTGATACTAACACAATTGAATGGGCTTTAAAAGTGAATGTTACAACCTTGTGCCTTTGTTGTAAGATTATAGTTGTATAGAAGATGTTTAACAGATTTTTGTCATTGCATGTTTTCAATGTAAACATAATCAATTGAATTATTTGAAATAAGAAGTGGATAAAAGATAAGGTATTTTTAATTTATTTGAGTATGAGGTCAGATTATTAAATATTTATTAAGAAATTTTCTCACAAAAACAAATGTGGTTCTCTGACTAAATACTTCTTAGCCTTGTATAATGATTTTAACTGATTTCATAACAGTGTAGTAGTTATAATTGTCAGAATTTTCTTAATTAATTGAACAAAAATTTTACACCGGCTAAGTTTTTAACGTTATTGAAAATCATATTTTTACATTGACAGAATAATAAAGACCGTCATTTCAACATTGTATCTTCTTTTAGTTGTATTGTATAAGGACATTTTTTTACTGATGGCTGATTAAAAACTATGGCTCATTTACTGGCAGTAAACTTCCTAAATTATGTTTATTCCATTCTTGTTTTTAAGTACTGCGTGTGTTTCAATGTACCCTATTAATATTTAAGTTTATCTACTGTAGTACTTTTTTCCATCATGCGTAAAATTTAAATTAAATTAAATAAAGTATGAAAACTTTATTATATTTCTGAAATGATAGATTCTTTCTTGCCATTGGTTTGGCGAAAACAAATGTTTACTCCTCATAATCCTGAAAAAGTTGCTTGTTTGTAATAGAGTTTCATGATCATAACACGAAGCGGCAGAAATTAAGGTCTTAATACTAGCTCTAATCCGTAGCATTTGTGCTTCTTGATATTTTCCTTAAAGAGGCTATCTTGCCTTAGTGTCATCGAATGAGATGTATGTTATTAAATAGTTTAGATTACGCCAAATCTGACGGTGCCCTTATTTACACTTTTTATCGAAAAAAATCTGGAGAAATTAACGCTTGAAGTTCGCTCTTTTAACAAGAGCGGTTATGGCAGACATACTGAAAATAACGATTTGTAACCTTAATCGAAAGTGTTAGATATTACGAGTATACACGTATTGTAGATTTTAACTTCATCTTTCGAATTCCGTCGTGAGAAATATGGGTAAACTGACTAGAAATCGAAATAATTGCAAAAAAGGCATGAGTCAACTTATTTTTTCTGCTATAAGAAAGTCAGTAAAGCCGCCATATTTTGCAGGAGCGGGCGCAATTCAAATTCAAATGTTATTTGAGTTAAATGATGACTTACGTTTTCAACATTATTAACACCATGACATTGATATACTGTAAAAACATTTGAGAGATATTCAATGCCTAGGAAAATTAAACATTAAAGTTGAGCTAAAAAGGTCAGCTATATTAAATTTCACAAATTGTCACATTGTAAAATAAATATAAGATATATTTATGTTGGTATCCCTACCAACTACCTCAGTATTGCGTACATAATAATATTGGCATATAGTATCAGTTAAATCATCAGATATATTATATCAGCTGATATCCATCAGAAGAGTAGATATACAATTGCAAGTACTCTCAAACAAAGCAAATATTTTATTACATAACTTATAAACAGATGATTCACAAACTATAATTATTCCAGCAAGTCCTGAAAAAAATTCTCTACGATTTTGGCTGAACACACCACCGCCGTTTCAGCGGTTCGGCCAGTGGTAGTTGCTGTAATACTAAAACAGCAGTGTGCCAGGCCGTTTTGGCTTGGCTCGTCTGCTATAGTTACACTGCCGCCACATACAGTCTGCTACACAGCCGAAAGTGCAGTGTAAACAAGCCATTCAGGAAGTGCATGTTACAGGAAGTTTCATTTGTCATTCAATGAACTGTACAAAATATATATGTATTAAATAACTATTTTGAGTTCAGTTTTGTAGTATGTACACAAAACAACATAATATATTAGAAACATACAAAAAGTAAAAGTGTTTATGGCTTAATTTTGATTTATATACACCACAGGCCAGTTGTGTATGCATCAAAACGATATTAATTCTTATGACGTATTTATACATATACAGATAAACTAAAGCTATATAATATTAAAATTGCGTATTTGGGTTTTAGGTTAGGTTTTAATTTACTTTTGGCTGTGTAGCAGACTGTGTGTAGCGCCAGTGTAACTATAGCAGACGAGCATAGCCAAAACGGCCTGGCACACTGCTGTTTTAGTATTGCAGCCAACTACCACTGGCCGAACCGCTGAAACGGCGATGGTGTGTTCAGCCAAAATCGTAGAGAATTTTTTTCAGTGCTCTTTTAAAAAATTACTTACCCTTTCTGATACAGTCAAACACTGTTGTATTTCTTAAAATAAATGAACAAGATATTTAGGAACTGTTTATGATAGCTTAAAAAATTTAATTCAAAAATATTTTCATTCTCAGAAAAAAACTCTATTGTTCAAACTAAAGCTAACGATTACAAACATGAAACAAACACGTACTTTCGTCAAGGTATAAGAAAGAATATTTTGAAACCGGTGTTAGAAAGAGAGTGATTCGAATTGTGTAATTAGTTTAAGGAAAGCGTTTCAAATTCTTGAATACAGTATACTTTATTGTGGACTATAGTTCACAAGAGTTGCATTACAGATTAGAAATCTTAAGATTATTGTATTTTTTGCGCAAGAACTCACAGTTTGATGCAGTTTTTAAATATTTGTACAAATGAACTTAACATACATGAGAGTATTGTAAACATCGCAAAGTAGCTTTTAGTATACATATAAAAGGAGCTGGCTCGAACATACTTTGTCTGCATCCAGTACTTTTTGATGAATACAGTGTTTGACTTGTTTCACTTATTATAAATGAGTATTGAGAGATAGCTCTTTCCCAAAAAATTATGATGTTTATATAAAATCGACCTTTGAACAAAAACAAAAGGTCAGGTAAGTTTAATGTGTTACATTAATTCTTTTCATAGAATTTAGAAAACCTTAAACAGTAGCAATAAACTACGTATATTTTTTAAAAAATTTTTATAAATGGCTAGCCTTGCGCAGTTCAAAAATTAAAATGTAAGAACAGTTGAGTTTTGTTTGGTTGGCGCAACTTTTTTTTTGTACAACACTCAATGTTTTATACTGTCTTGTGTACATGAACGGAGTCAAACTTAATAGTATTTACGTATGTGCTCGATATTAGGTTTCCGTTTAGTATCGGTAAAAAGTTAATATTACTTAGGTCGATTTTATAAACGTACAAGTCAGTATATAGAATACTACGGGTGTCATGCAGAACGTAGGCTGTGCCAAAAAACAAAGCAGAACTTAACTGTTTTTGGATTTTAAATTCAGATATTTGCAAAGCTAATGATTCGTGGATAAAATTTATTGCTACTGTATAACAGCTCCAAAAGTTCCTCAAAAAATTTTTGTTGAACACATCAAACTTATCTGACATTTTATTTTTATTAAAAGATTGTATTTATGGGGTTAATTTATATTCGAATCACAACAACCCAGAAACCTTATCTATGAACAAAAGTTAAAAGTCATGTAAGCTTGATTTGTTTACTGAGTAAATTTTAGAAATCCATAAATCCTTCATAGATATGTAATTATTCTTTCTAACAACTCGTCTTGATAAAGTTGTGAAATTAAAATATAAGAGAGGTCAAGTTTGGTTTGATTTTTGTTACATTCGTAGTATTTTACTGTCTTGTACTTGTGCATTAACAAAATCAAACTAAGTAATGTTAACTTAAGGGTGGTACTAAACGCAAACCTAATATAACATCAAATGTATTACTGCTATATCATGAGTATATAAAAACGTTAGTGCATTATTTTAATATACTTAATATAAGCAAGAAGTATCAGTCATTTTCAATATTTTTTAAGTTTGACTCTGTGAATGTACGAGTACAAAATAGTATAATACTACGAATGTCACATGTAAAGTATGATTTACCGCAAAACATAACAAAATTTACCTTTCTTCGATCTTAATTTTACAACTGTCTAAAAATGAGTCGTTATAATGAATAATTGCAGATATAAATATAAATATATTTTAGGAATTCTCTAAAAAATAATAATGCACAAATCAAACATACATTACTTTTTATTTTCGTCAAAGGGTTAATTCTATGAGGACGTTGTTACGTCCAAACTTCTATAAGTGAAGGGCGGAGCTCGTAGATTCGTTCTACAAACAAATACTTAAATTTAATTTTTGTTCGTCAGGAGCCAGCCATGAGCCTAAAGGCCTTATTTGCTTTTACTTACATTATACTTTTCTTTGAAATCGTTGACTCGGCGTTGTGGTGTTAGGTTTCACCGAGCGATATAAATGGAGTGGTGTACGCTGAACTGGCGTTGACTTATTGTTAGAGTTTATGTCTCATGGCATACGGTAGTAGCGTATCTTATTCGTCTTTTTATCTCATGTCCTTGTAAAGGTCTTTATCATACAGTGTCTATTTTATTTTTCCTCGATATTCAATTTATTCATTAAGGTAAGAATTATGTGCCAATCAATTAGAATCATGGGATCTTGAAATATTTCATATAATTTAGAAATTGGAATATTTTTGAATTAAGAAAATTAATTTAATCGACAACCAAGTTATGTCTTATTTGATTATTTAATAAATTTAGAAAAACCAGAAATAGTTGATTTTACAAGTAATGTAAGTTATGAAGCTCAGATTCGCATTAACCATGTTTATAAAATTTATAGTTTTTCTAAACTTAACTTACTTCTATGATCGTTGGTTAGCCGCAGATTTTTCGAATAAATTCACAGTAAAGAATACCGTAGCAAAATTACGACGCTCGGCTTAGGAAGTAATCCGACGCATACCCAGCGTAAAATATATTTATAAAACAGCAGAAGTAAAAGTACTACTTTAGTAGTAAATTTACTTTACATATTGTAAAATCTACTAACTGAAAAAGTTGCTATATACTTAGAGAACTTTTTT